CACGCCAATCTGCGCCTGGCGTGCGGATTGGCGTGCGCCATGGGGGTTGGCGTGCGGTTATCAACCCCCCAATCCTTGGTGACCATTCCACCTACTCCGCCACTCCCATCAAAGCCCACACACCGAATTGGAGTTTGACGATTGTGAACCGGAAGCCGATGTTCACTGACAAAACAGTCACTGATAAAATTCGCCATTGACCCAGTGTCGATGAGAACCGACGCTATGACCGCCTGATCGGCCGCTGTCTTGAACGACACCGGAATCAACATTCGCCCCGCCTTGGAGCAATCCAACCGAACCTGAATCGTCGAAACGCCTACTTCCTCCACTTCCTCCTGATCCTCTTGGAAACCGAAGCTTGAGAGATCGAGCTCCGAGGCGTCCTGGGGGGTTCACGCCTGGATCAGAGGGTTCGAAGGCGAAGGCGACCGTTGTCGAGTGACTGCTTGATACGGCGAGGGGACCGCGAATAGGGAACGTCGACGGGTGATGCTTTCTCCTGGAGGTCTTGGACCAAACGAAACCTCCGAGACTTGGACCGGAACCGCTCCGCGATATTGTTCCACGAACTTCTTTCGGGCCTCTGGCGTCACTCTCCCGTTTGGACAATTCAGTGAATTGGTGTGGTCGGGTGGGACCGTCTTCTGGAGACACCTGAAACACACCCTCTGAGCTAAACAGACCGTCCGGAAGAGGCGTTCAAAGCGTTGTTCCGGGGTTAGAGGACCTCTGGACGAAATTGCGTCAATATCCATGGCATCCGGTGACTTAGAAGCTGAATTTGGATGTTGATAGACTTGCGGCGGCGCGATCGGAGGCGGTCGAGAAAACCCTGGCGTTTGCGAGACCTGATGAGATGGAGGGGCATGATTGGAGGACTGCCTGTTCGGAATCCTAGACAAGGCGGCTAGCTGCCTCGAAGCATCCAAGGCCCGTCTCATCTTCCCCGCCAAAGTTGGTTCTTCCAGCCATTCAGTGGACATGGCCTTGTTGATGATATCGTAGTTGAGTCCTTCAACATATTTGTTGATCCGTGCATCTTCCGAATTGACCACCTGATAACATAACGTGGAGTACTGAGCGTTGTATTCTTCAACTGATTGTCGACCTTGTTTACACGCCGCCAGCGCTCTCTTTGCCGAATCGAGTTGAAACTTGTCCCCGAAAGCGTCGATCAATCCTTTTTCAAACTCTGTGACCGAGAGCAGCATGGGGTGTCTGAAGGGTATTCGATCCAAATCTGCATATGGATTGTTCTCTCCTTGAGCCCGGGCGTTCGACAATACCAACGAATTGTACCAATTTTCCGACGCGCAAGGTTCGGCAGGGGTATTCTTTGATGCCGACGGGTGATAACCGAAATGTCTAGATATCCAGACTATCATTCTGGACTGAGAAGAGAAGAACGAATGTCGAGGATACAAGAAATCACGAATTGCCCGAAGAAAGGAGGCCAACTGTTTCGTTTCCCCCGAAAACCACAGCTCCGGGAGCTTCTGCGGTTCCAAATATACCGGATTCAGCCCCTGTCCTTCCACTCGTGGGTGATCATGAGATGGGAAAGGCAAGGGGACCTGCGGAAAACCCTGCTGAGGTATCGGCGCTTCCTGAGCCGTATCGCCTTGATTTGGGAGAGATGGGTTCATCAACGGGTTTTGGGACAAATTTTGGGGCCGGAAGAAAGCGAAGTGGTTTGTGTCGATCACAGTGGAGGGAGCCGCAGTGGAGACCGGATCAAAGTTGAGAGTTGGCGGTGGAGGGTTGGGCTTCTCCGTTGCTTTGACGATACCGATGAGCGTTTCCAAACTGGTCGCCATCCGTTCCATGCGAGAGTCCATCCGGTTTAGGCGTTCTTCAGTATCTTCAGCCTTTGTGACCGTATTCGCTTGCTTTTGATGAACATCTTCTTGATGACCTGATGTGGAGGATTCTTGACCGTGATTCATTTCGGGTGTCTTGGAGGATGAAGCTAGGAGCTGACTTGTTTTGCGGATTCTGTTGTGAAATCGGAGTGCTTGAGAAGCTGTTTGATTTGCTGGTCGATGCGATGATCGTTGTGAAAACACCGACGTGCGAGACAGAGGAGAAGGTATTCGAGTTCTTGAGAAGTTTAGAGAGGAGAGTGTTGTAGCTCGACTACGTAATCTTGAGTAATGATTACGTCTCACTACAGTCTATGTCATAAATGACATAGACGATGATCTCGACAAGAGACGTCCGACTATCTCATGAATCCCTTTTCTCACGATTCTTCTTTTTCTTCTCTTTTCTCTTACATAATGTGGACTATAAATAACCATGTATTTCTCTCCACATTATGCCTTTTCTCTCTATGCAATTTAGCCATCACTTTCCTTTTCCTCCTACTTACGTACTCGTGCCTCAATAGAGAGATGGGGGGGTAGTTGTCGTGTAGACGTGAGAGATGGAGAATGATGCGATTGACGTGTGACAGAAGACGGAGACTGATGTGATTGATGTGTGACTGAAGACGTAGGAGAATACCACTGGGTATGTGAAGAATTTGATGTGGAGGAGACTGAAATGTCAGAATCCTCCTCGTGCGAGTTTGGTAAAGTATACGACGGAATGTTGAAACTGTTATGTTTGTAAATTGTGAGAGACTTATAATTAGGGTTCTCAAAGTTGAAGCATACAAACATACATACAAGACTACATACAACAGAATACGACACATAAGCTGTTTTTCTGCGGGGGTAGGCGGGGGTATGCTTCTAGAACGGGGTTTGTTGCACGGGTATGGATTAGCGCATGGAAAAAAAGTGATGTAATTGTGTATGTACGGGAGTATGTACGAGCCGTATGTCGGCCCGATTTCAACTTTGAGAACCCTAAATGTAAAGAATACGGCGACTTTTTTGGAAAAAACTTTGTTTTTGTTTTTGTTTTGTTTGTAACTTTGTGTAACGTACTGACGATACTATTTTTTTGCAATGATAGAGAAAATAACAAAATAAGTCTCTTGAAGAAAAAGGAAATACAACTTGTGGATAATTCTCGTCTTTTATAGATACAAATCATAAAATTTTATTTTTTCTTTTCTGAGCGTAGCTTTCGTTTGTAGTAACTAAGGAGTGAAGTTCGTAACATAGCGATAGTTCTATGACTTATCATTTGATCCGCTCCTTTTGAGATAATGACAGAATTTTCTAAAGATGGAAATAGAAAGTAGAAAAGGATAGAATTTCCTAAAGAAAACTGGAACTAGAAAATAGAAAAGTTTTTTCTCAGAGTTTCTTGGCTCGAGTTTGACAATTTGCCTTACAAGTAAATTGCTCACAAGACGATGTTGTAGTGTGCCCTTTGTATATGTACACAAAAGGCGGTGTCAACTCGCCCCCCAAAACTGGCTTCTTGAGGGTACTTGGTTTCCATTCTGTACTTCACCACGTTTGTATGGGCAAAGGAACCTTTGATAGTTACCTCAAGGGGTCTTAAGTTTGTATGGGCATCAGTTGCCTCAAGAGTGTGTTAGCTACAAATGGAAGTCCGCTCAAAGTGGGCTCTACGTAGCTTGAACACTCTGAAAGTTCGTGGTTCCACAGAACATCAAGGGAATGCGAAGGAGCATAGTATCGCTACTCCGAGTAAGAATCACCATGAGCCCAGCGCTTGGGCCGCAACGCTACTGCATGCTTTTTTGTGAGACCCGCCAAACTCAGGTATTGGAGCTCAACGATCAAAGCTGAGCCGAGGCTTTCTGCAAGAATTTACCCGGGTGATCCGTGCAGAACCAATAAGATTCTGAACAATGGTAGTGATGTCTACTTCAAGTTTGACTACCTACCGCATGACGCCTGAGTCTTACGAATGAGCCACTAAGCGCCCATGATTCCTATCAGCTGCTCTTCTGTGAGAGCAGAAGTTCCGGACTTGGCTACTCTCAGCCAGTCATTGTCCTATGTGAGCTATGAGTGACAATCTGTGTTGAAATAGGTGCCTGGGTGCGCTCTCAAGTTCATTTCTTCTTGAGCTACCTAGTATAAATTTTCTCACCGAAGAGCAGCTCCCCGCAAATTGCTCTTATCTACTAGGCGGTTTCTCCAGTAGCACAGCTTTTCCTCTTTGATATCACTTTTTTGTTGTTTTGTTATTCGCGAGGGGATTTGGGTGTACGGCGTATTCTTCTTTTTTTCTACTCGATTTGTTAACTATCCCTTTCAAAGTGGGGATGCTCTAGTTCTTTAAATAAATACCTTGGCGAATTCTTCATTACCTGCTTTTCGACTAGTTCGTTCAATCTCTCCAACAGAAACAAGAAGAGAAAAAAAAGAAAACATACCCGAAGGACACGCCTCATGTACCACCAGGAATAGATTGGACTTCACACTCTCTTGGCCTCTCAAATTTACGGATACAAGTCGAACTTGAGATACATCTTTCCCAACATTGAACCAGACAATCCTGATGGCCGATGTAGGTATTCCGCCGCATTTTCCCGGGTTGAGGAATTTGAGAGACAAAATTCGACCTTTGTACTTAAACTTATATTTGAAACTGATTGACTGCAGATCAGGCTGGAAGACATTTTAGCTGGTCGCCACCTTTCGCCTTACACTCTGGGTGAATTTGAAGAGCACTTGGTGCACGTCCAACACTCGGCAGAAAACCTGTAAGTATCCATTGAAAGCTTCAGTTGGGAGCAAACTGAATCTGAAGATATGTTCAATAAATCTTTTTAGTTATTTTTACTTTTGGCTTTCTGATTACACCAAGCAGTACAGAGACTGGCAAGCCAGTTTCAACGAGCGCAAAGAATCACTTACCCCAATACCTGATAACGTTACAAGTCCAGACGGCCACTCGAAATGCGCAATCCGAGAATCTTTAAGACTCACGCGAAATGGAGTTGCTCGGCTTGTACCGATGTTTGTTCGAAAAGCCCTGGCTAGCAAACCCACAGCTGAAACTACATCTCAACCCGGGTTGCATGCAGAACTCCAACTTGCCCCACTTCCTCAAGATTTGTCGAACACTCCAGTACCCGAAGAATTAATGAAGTCTTTTGAAAGTCTTCAGTCATTTATCCTTCCCCCACGTCAATCAAATCAGGCGCTCCACGACTTCGAGTTTGAATTAAACATTTCTCAACAATTGAAAGATCAATTCAGGCTTCAAGCTGAACACTCTCTGGATCCTGAAATCTTTTCGCCAATCAAGAAGGAGGTTACAAATATGCTATCAGATAGCATGCGCAGCTGGTTGATGGATTGTTCTGGGAATTCGGATAAATATCGGTGCGCCAGGTTTCTTCTCCCTGAATATTTCAAAAGCGTGATAGGCTCATCTAACAATGCCTCCTATCAAATCAAACTTGGTTCAGAAGTTAATTTTCTGCAATAATTGTTTTATTTTTTATTCTAAATTACAGAGCACAGTTGACCCTTTGCATAGGAGCGTTTTGTGTAATTGTAGCAGTAATTGGAACCGTGCTTCTCATGACCAAGACAACCCGCGTGAAGATCACGTTGTGTTTAAGCCCACTTGTTTGGATCGGACTGGAAATATTTTTTTGTGGAGTATTCCGAACGTGTCCACTGATCTTCATGTTTGGATCATTTCGCCAAATTCACTTCTGGGAACTCGGACGAGCCAAAGAAGCCGCTGCGATAACCGAGAGGAATCTTGTGTCCAAACGTCACGACTTCCATCAAAATCAAAGCAAGTTGAATAGCGAAAGTGGCCACGGCTCCTTGACTCCTTCCGAATACCAGCGAGCATTTCTTCCATCAAAATTTTGGGACTCTGGTTTTCAACTCAAGCCGTCTGACGGATTAATCGTTTATGGACCAGACGATCGACATTTACCGCAAGTCTCAATGTCTATGGTCTGCTCTTCGCACAACAACACTTCGGCTTCCAGTCCAATGCAGCCTACCCCTTGCTCCCCAAGGACACAGAAAATGAAACTTTGGAAGCAGTCACGGTCCACTCAATTGCACGGCTCCTCCGCTCCTATGTTTGGTCCATTGACAAAGGTTTTGAGCCCCGTGGCTATAAAATCCCATCGGCTCAGTATTCTCAAAAGCATCGTTTTAGCAACACTATTGACTGCCGCATGGATCTTGATTTGTCTTCTGGTCCACACTCGCCATATCCCGTTTTTTCCCAAAGTGTCTCCGAAATTGAGGAAAGAATAAGAACAACGACCCGCGCCTTCTACTGAGCCTTCTTCCTTACTACTGCCAACTCACACTGACATTCTGTCACGATTGAACAATTCCTCGCGAACTTCAGAAGTTACATTCACATTAACACTCCCAAATCTCCCCTCAAACTAACGTGGCAAGACCACAAACACATTTCATTTATCCCTTATCTTCCTCGTTCTCATGACCACATTATTATGTCTTTTTTTGTTCTTCAGTCAACCATACTAATCACTTACTTATTTTGATAGCAACTAGACAGTACTTCCCATGTCTGCAATTTGTTGTTGTTCTGGACTCAAATTTGACCTTAATATTGAACTTCCTCCTGATCAAATTTTATTGATTTAAATGCATATCATTTGGCCTCAAGCAACATCCTTGGATGTTATTTCATTTTATACAGTAAACGTTTCCCACTCCTGTTTTTTGAGAGTTGGACCAGCATTTAATTGTCTCAATTACATGTTTCAGATGAGCATTCAAGCAAATAACAATCCAAAAATGGCTGTGAATTTGAACTTGAATTCTTTAAACTGAATGAAGTCCATGTATTGACCAAAAATCCCAAAGAAAGAAATGAATAAAATTTCAAGCCTTAAACGGTTTTACCTTTTTCTCCTTTCAATTAATTAAATTGAAAAATTGATGAACAAATTCACAATTCAGACTTCAGAATTGTGTAAACACAGATCAAAAGGCTTTAGCAGAGGCAGTCAGGATGTACAAGAATGGAGAAAACTCTTGTTCATCATCAGATTGGTTTGAGGACTGCTGTAGAGATTACTGTCTTTGCTTTTCCCCTTTTCTTCACCCATCTTTTCTGTCACTCTTCTTGCACCTAATCTAGTACTGAATTGTTTATATCTCCTCCTCATCTGTCAGACACTGAGACAATAGCCCATGTGTCTACAATGTGAAGATATAAGTACAAACAGGCTAGTGTAGTGGTTAAGAACTGTCTTAAGACAATTCTTACCAACACCCCTGTGTTCAATCCCTCTTAAAACTCTATTGTATTTTTATTCATTTCTTTTTATATTTTTTTTTCCTAAGTAATTCCGTGGAATAACTTAGTATCTTCCTCTGTATTAATATTCCTTTATTACAGAGATGCTAACTTATGTACATAAAGTCTATTCTTCTCTCTCTCTAAGTATATTCTGTAATTAGAGAGATTACTACACTTTGGGAATTGATTAATTTATTCCTCTCTGTATGGATTCACCCATAGAGAGAAACGATGTCATTCCCTCCACTTTTGATGTAATCATAACTTAAATACATATTCTGATCATTTATGATTTAAACACAGTGGGGCTTTCTTGACCCTGAGGGTGTCAGCCTTAGAGCCAGCCAAGCTGGCCAAAAGACTGCTTAAGTCCTCCTTTTTCACTCAAGTCCCTACTGTAACTTTTTCATCTTAATCTTTTATTATTTTCCGACTTCAGAAATGAATTTCTCTGTTAATTTTAACCCTAGTCACCACTACACACTTTTGCACTACTCTTCTCCTTCATAGACTTTGTAATATTTCACAGTACCTTGTGAAATATCAACCAAGTTGGAATTCCAACTCTCTACCACATGTACATGTTGTGATTATGTAATCCAACTCTGAAAATTTTCTCAGTAGACACTGAGTTCGCATTTTCAGGATCTTCAAGGTTCAGACCCACCCAGAACCAACTCATACCAGAAAACCAGCATACCTCAACTTGGATTCACCGCCGTATCATCGCCGTGTTATCGTTTGGAGTCCTTTACTCTTTGGAATCTTCCCACTCTCAGTGTCAGGATCACCAAATAGTAAGTCATTCCTTTCAAGTTCAGCTTGCATCTTTCTGCTAAGTTTCTTCTCTGTCTCTCTGAATGAACCCTTCATTCTTTTTCTACTAAACCTCTGCCTCAAACATCATCTTATCAAATCAAGTCATCTTAATTCTCTGTTTGGTGGTATAACTAAAAACCACATAGGTTTCCCTTTAAAGACCCTTGATCTTAGATCTAAAAAATTGTGGCCGGATTGATTTATCAATATCAGGAACCCTTCTCAGTTTCAGTTGAGTTAGGAGGCGTAGATTTATTCCGCTATAGAACAGCCATCCTTCCACAGGAAAGTAAGACTGCAGTAAACCTTGATTATAAAACAAATAAACAATAAAAAAATATTATTCATTTTCTTTCTCTCTCTCTCTCTCTCTCCCTTTCTCTTATTCTAGTTGTATTTCTTTATCCCCTTGAAATACATCTAGAATTGCCCCCCATTCCTTGTGTCCTGCTGTCACTTTTGAGACCCAGGCTCACAGAGGGTGGGCTGACATTGGAATTGCGGCTTTTGTGCCAAAATTCAACGTTGGCCAGACCAATCTGGCAGGATTCCATAAAGAGGGCTGAGGCCAACGGGTGCTTGAACGCGGGGTCAAGCTGACACAGCGCCATTTCAAAAACTCAACCCATGGTGTACGGGTTCAAATCCTGCTCACTCCAAATTATTTTTGGAGTGTTTCCTTGGACAGACACCCAGGCTGATATCACACAAGAAGGGCCTGACTGTCTATAACTGGGTCATTGTGAATCCCAAAAAGTAAATAAAAATCCTCTCTGTCTGTTGACCAGGCCTGTATGGTGTCCAAAAGTTACAAAGCAATATCTTTTTCTGTTAATCCTTGGAGTGCACACCTTTTTTGGTATACATGAGGGAAATCTTTGGTGTACAAAAAGACAGACCCTTTTGTTTAGCCCTGATCTCTGAAGCTGCAAGCCCACCGTCCTATTGTGCAGCAGCTGACTTACCAATCAACATGACCAACTTAAGCCAAAAATATTGTGTGACTTTTGATTGGGGAGTCTCAAAATTAATGTGGGTGGTTTGCAGCATCTCACACAGGCAGGGCCAGGGACAAAGTGGTTTGGGGTTGAAAAAAGTAGTGCAAGAAAAAAAGTTTGGAAAAGGCCCCAAGCTTTTTTCAAAATAGCTGTAGTAACTGTGCACATCCGCAGTCACAGTCTTACATTTTTTTTCATTTTGGAGCAAGAAATAGTCACAAAATTCATGCTGCAGCTGGAATATCCTGAATCTCAACTGCTAGTAGTTGAACCAGGTTTGCTTACAGTGTTTAGACAAATTTGGCAAGATGAAATTTGTGCCAATAAACCTATTGTGGGTTGTCACACCAAACTATGCTAAACAACCACCTAGCAGCAGGGTAGCAACCCTCAAAGAACACCTCCTCATACTGTAGCATTAGCGGGCTGTTTGGTGCTATGCTAACACTACACTGTGTTACACTTATATTAACAGAAAAACCCACTAAAAAGGGGTGTAATTCTGCATAGCAGCTGCATAATTTACCCCTTGGCCATCAGAGATAGCGTGATACTGCTAACTCAGTGTAGCTGACCCACTGTTGGATAAATTGTAACAACCTGTTCCAAAATGGGGAGCCATGGACAATGTGGTTGGGTTGAATGCCATTCTTTTGGAAATTCTCAACTGGCATGCCTGGAAGATTGAAAAAAAAATATAGATACATTATTTCAGCCCACATAACACATTGAAGTAGTTTAAATCTTTTATCTACAAAAAATAATTAGATCGGTTCCCTTATCCATAATTAGATCAATTTCCCTTATCCTAGCACAAGAAATGTCACCAATCAGGAATGAAAATAACTAACAAGTTCATAACAGAAAATATGTTTTGGACAAGGTCATAGAAAAATCCAGACAAAAAAAGAAGCAAAATTTTAATAATCACAAAATAAATGATACCGAGCACAAATTAACCCTTAAACACCCCTAGTCAAATCCACCTCGGCTCCTCCTTTCCTAGAGTCTTTATGAGTTGAAGTTGATTGTTGATGGTCAGAGGTGGATTGATGGTGGGATTTAAAAGTGGATTTCCAGCCAGAGCTGATAGAAGCTTTGATTTTTTCCATTTCCTTTCGAGAGGCATCGTCCAGCTTGACATCAGGAGAGACTTTACCGTGCATGTTCAAGCTCTTGAGAGGATTTTGAGCACAGACTTGATTCAGAATATCTTCAAGAGCAAATCGAGCTATGTTTAATTCGGTGACGTGTTTGGCCCAAAACGCTGGTGCGAATTCCCAATCGATCTGGGTCATATCTCGACAAGCCATGTTTGTTTCGCGAAGGAGCCATCGAACAAAGCTGTCAGTGGTGTACCATGGAGTTTCATCCGCGTGTTGAGTTGGAAGGTGATCTGGCGCATAGATCCATTTATTCTTTACGTGAGCCAATTGAACGATTGACCAGACATCTTTCTGATTGAAGCGCCAAGGATCAATCAAACATGACCACCATCCAGCGACCCCATAGAGAAAGAAAACAGCCATAGAGCCAAAGGCAGAAAGTCGGATTTTCCCCCATTCTTTCAATTGATTCTTAGTTGGGTTTGGACCGACATCACCACTCTTGAACAAGCTCCGTCCACGATCGTATGTTGAACTATTTTCAGCCGTTTCTTGTGTTCGGTTTGGATCAGTCGCGGTTCTAGAATCACGTCCTTTTTCAGCAGCAAATTTTACAGAGTGTTGCATCATCAGAACACAAAGTAGAGTCTCCCAAATCCTCTTTTGCAGGATCATTAATCCGTTCGGACCTCTAATCGCACTGGTCCGGGTAGACGATTTTACAGCGGTTTGGAGAGCACGGATCTTTCCAATCAAAAACTCTCCAGCTACGAGCAAAGTGTCTGACTTCGGGTGCTCGGGAGAACTTGGAGATTTTCCTGGACCAAGAAATTTGTCGATTTGGTCGAAGGCTACTACAGAGAGACTATGAAGTTTTTTGAAGGCTGGACCGAAGATGCGCTGGGCCCCCTTATCCTCAGTGTATTTGGGGTTCTCATCCGTCCTGATCATCATACCTCCAAGTGCTTTCCAATAAGCTACCTTTTCAGTCTCGGTCGATTCCCATGCGTTTTTGATGATATCGAGACGAACAATCCTCTGTTGGAAGAATGGATCTTCGCAATTGACCTGGAGCAATTGTGGAGCTAGCCCGAGCGGCAAGAATTGATTAAATTGTAAGTCAAAGGAAACTAGCAAAGAGTTGCACATGATTCTCACATGTTATAAGGCAGTTCTTGAATGCTGGCTTGCTTATAGCACCGAATGCCTCAATTGCCTCGCTAGTCAGGCTGAGAAGCTCCGGGCGCTCATAGAACATACTTTCCTTGGTGTCGCTTGAGAACCACTCAATCATGTCTATGACCTTTTCCATCAACTCAGGGCCATAATCCCATCTTCTATTCTTGGAGTCTTCTTCCATCTTCTCGTGAGCCAGCCGCATGTCTTCACACTGTCTGATTGACCAGATCTGATGTAACAAAACTGCAGAAACAAAGACATGTCAATAACCAGGTCATAGAGGGAAGCAAAGAAGAAGACAAGAATACCTCCTGGCTGGAGAGCAGATTTCCAAATAATCCACTTTATTGCCCTACGAGTCACGCCTTTCTTGTCCTTAGGCATTCGCAGTTCTTCCGCGTTCCCCTGCCGGACATTCTTACTTGTTTCATTTTCCTTGAATATCCAGAAATGCTGCACGTTTTGCTTTCTGTCTTTCAGAGGAAGCTCTCTGACCGTAGAACTTGAAGGTGTGGGCAAAAACAGAGGGAGCTCTCTGACCGTAGAACTGGAAGGTGTGGGCAAAAACAGAGGGAGCTCTCTGACCGTAGAACTGGAAGGTGCGGGCAAAAACAGAGGAAGCTCCCTAGGGAGCTCCCTGACCGTAGAACTGGAAGGTGTGAGCGCTTCTTCACGTTCCACATCCGTTGTCAATGCTCCATCCTTTGGGGGGCCGGGGCGAGTGGATTGTAGTTTGATATGTGCCGACGAAACGTTAACAGGAACTTGAATCACAAATGTCAGTTACCGATGATTTTGAATCGCAATCTTTCATGAAGAGAGGCTCACCCAGAGTTTTTGGGTTTTTATCCCGAGCTGAATTATTTTCAGTAGAATCAAGATCTTCGACACTTGCTGAATTGAATAGACAACATTAGCCAAAACAATCCAAAAAAAAATTAATGGCAAGAGGCTCACTTCGTTTTCGTTTTCTTCCTTCTTGCACCCCAATTCCGTTTACTTCATTAGCTAACCCATTCTCATCAGCCTCATTGACCCCCCGTGTCCCATTAGCTTGAAAAGAATTCCCATCCACCTTCCGAGCTTGCGTTGTATGCTTTCCCTCCATCTCATTCGAGGTTGCTTTGGAGATAGAGGCAAGTTGCTGGGAGTTTGGAATGAAGTTATTTGCTGAGCCCATCTGCGAAATCGAGGTCATTGTACTCGCGTTAAGTGGATTGTCGTGGCTGTTGATATGTTTGGGCTTAGAGATCGCAGGAGTTTGGCTCGAGGATCTATCATGGCTGGCAAGATTATTTGGCTTGTTCGGTAATGTAGTAATTTCGGAGCGCTCGGCGGGTATTGACGGGACCACGGTGTCTTGAGTGTTCTGTGGTAGGGCAGCATTGTCGGCCCAACCCTTGTCTGTCTGGGTCCTGGGAACTTTCAAAATCTGTCCGGTGGGAGCTTTGAGATCTTTGGCTTGGCCTGTCGGGGTGGGCCCGATACGTGGACAAAGCTCGTGCCAATTAACCCGTCTCCTACGAGCGTCAAAGTCAAGGATAGGCTCCGAGAAACGTGAGGTGGCGCCGACGTGAGGGGTGCTAGTATGTCGCAGATGACCAACATCTTGAGTATCGAAATTAGCTTGAGCAGCCCCGTTACCCCTAGCCTGAGCCAACTCGCGCTCTTGGATCCTCGGCGGCGCTGAAGTTTCGTGGCTTCGTGTCTTGAGTCCAATCAGGATAGGAATCAGGCATTCCAGGCATGCCAATAAATTACAACCCATAGAACAACAATGGAACAACCTGAAACTCACTGCTGAAAAGGTATTTCCCTCTTTGGCGTTATCCTGACCAGGCCTCAATTCGTCATCTTCATCTGAGATCACAGAATCCGATTTTGCTCCGTTTCGGGTGGTCTTTCTGGACGACTCGAGGCTAACATTTGCATTGCGTCCAATGCTTTGGTGGGTCTTTTCAGGAATAGATGTTGCAATTAGTTTCTACATTGAAAGCCCAGTACTGGAAACGCCAAAGCACTTGCCGTTTCATTACTTGTATTTTTCTCATGGGTCATCGAATCCGTGGCCTTCGCAGCGGGCCTCTTTTTCCAAGCCCGGCCTGAACTTTCCCCAACCTTTGGAACTATGGTCTGTTGAGCTAGAACTGGTGCAATCAACATCTTCGAAAAACTACACGCGTCGATGACATAAATAACACAACATCAATCTTTCATAATTGAGATCAAGAAAAGTGTTTTCCCAATAGAAATATCACTTGACTTTGTGATGCTTTTAACCCCTCTCAATTCCTCGGTTAACAAGGGCATTGGAACAACATGGAATTCTTCCATGTAGCGATTGCGAATTTCCGTTAAATACTTCCATTCTGCATCCAAATTAATCGTAAGAAAACGTATTAGGCTAAGAGAATTACAAGACAATACAATTGAAGAGAAAGGATACGAACGCATCTTGTATCGAGTGTTACATTGATCACAGTCAGTGTTTGGTTTAGGGTATAGCAGTTGGTTGACAACAATACAGTGAGCACCAAATTTGTAAGAAGTTAAAGCTTGGATCAATCTTGCGGTCTCATGAAGTGACCATGACTCGGATATGCAGACGCATACGAATGTCGTCAGGTCCTAAAGAAAGATATAAGAGCAAAAAGGTTTCAAAGGTCAGTTATTATCTATCCTAAGAAATTTCCATGAACCGGCAAGAATTATGTAGATGAAAAACCGGACTGGATCTTTGAGCTGGCCGTTAACTTCAGCAATAAGTGCTCTCATGCCGTTCAGCTTGCCGAACATATCATCAGCATTGGTAGATCGTAGCCCCATGATGGAGCCAAATTGCTGCATGATCGGCCCCAAGTGACCGCTTAAGAGGGATAGCTTTTCGATAGCATTTTCGAATATGCTAGGGAAAGATAAGAATCGGAGAGCGTGACTGGTGGGGGCCGTATCGAATATGATCACCGAGTATTTAATCGATTGCACACGTCTAAATTAAGATTCCAAAATTTGGATCAATCAATTCTACGCCTCTCCATTCCTCTTCTTGTTTAGAGCGAGGAGACGCAAGCCCAAAAGATGTTGAATTTCGTCTGACTAACTTCATAATTTCAGCGAATCTCATGGCCTCATCCATACCAGGAATGGTGAATACTGGATCAGGCATCATGCCAGCCATCCCGTCTTGATCACCTTGTAACTCGATTTCGATGCCATACAGGTTCTCAAAACCACTGACGCGCATCGCATGTTTGCTGAATTTTTGACAAAACGTATCCGCTAAATTGTGCGCCGGATCCATGGAGACCAACAACACTGATTCTCGACAAGAGGCTAATTGGACAGCCAATGAGCAGGATATTCTCGTTTTACCTGTGTGCGACACATGTGAGCTTCCCTACATAATCTTGGTAATTCGAGTTGCAAATATTTTGATCACTGACCTACTCCTCCCTTTCCACCTTTACTCATCAAAATTTTAAAACATCCGAGCCACAAGATGAGTAACTTGGTCAGTTTTCCGGCTAGAGATTTAAGAAAGGCGGACCACAAAAGATCCATTTCAAAGCTAATGGATGAAGGGACATAGGCAGAATTTCGAGTAAGAATCAAGCTCTGATTTGGTTGGCAATAGTTAGTAGTACTCACACTTTTTATCTATAATACTTTTGAGAGAGGGTTCGAGAGAAACGTCTTGGGCTGCCATCAGGATTGATTTTCAGTTGATAATACTTTTCTGCGAGTAATATGGTGGTTCGCATCAATTTGTGTATCTGTTAACTGACCCGTTGATTGGCAGCAAAACTTGAGACTCTTTGTGGTATCTCAAGACAAAGGATGTTGGTCTACAATTACATCAAAGGCGCCTGGACGCGCCGCGAAAAAACCCTCAGCGTATGCAGTGTTTCGATCCAACCTTTGTTCAGCCGAAATACGAAGCCCTTTATGTCCCGTGCCGATCCGGCCCAATTCTTTCGGGACTTGAGTACGCTAGCACTCTGACTGTGAGGCGTGCCAAATGTGCACCACATGGAGGTTTGCTAACTGCCATCACGTCGCGCCAGATTTTAATCAAACTGATGGAGATGCCCTAAGGGAATGAAAGGACGGAGCAGGATCCCGGAAAACCGAAAATTAAATGGGACCGGTTGACAATGGAAATTTTGATTTAATTTGGAAGGAAACAAAACTACATGAATGGGTTGATAAGAAAACAAATAAGTAAAATTGTCCTGAGGCATCTACATCGCTGCTGATGATTCAAGAATGTGTACCAGGCAGGAAAGATAGCCCTGTGTTGCTTCAGTACCTGTACCACTCATGTGACAGGGCTATCGTTAATCAGCAGCTATAATTTGAGGAGAGGTTCACAGAGGCCTGGATGAGGGAGAAGCAACCAGGGAGAAAAAAAGCATGTCAGTTACAGTCGACAGGGCATAGATGGAGATGAGGAATGGGGTATGGGCAAGAATCAGACGCATTATAAAAATGACACCCGGTGAGGTTGACTTCAGATTGGGCGTTGAAGAGCTTCAACTAGGTTCTCAGAAGGATTGCAACAGATGTCTGTTGGGTGCGTTGCTCATCATTTCGATGGGATTGATCTATCCAAGGGGGAAAATTATGGTACATACTGAGAAAGTTAAAGTAAGCTTACCTTTTCCTGAAGGGCCTTGCGTCGTTTCAAACGGTTGGGTCGCCCGCCAAGCTATGAAGCTGTGTTGTTGTGGGGTCTGCATTTGCTTGTTGAAGCCCCGGCCTTCCATTGGCCACAATTACCCGAGGGCGAACAAGCCAGCAAGCAGGTATTATAAGGGAGTGGAAAGTGAAACCTAATCTCTGTGACCATCGCCCGACATGGTTGTGGGTTAGGGCAAGCAGGGCTCTGGTAGGCACCCGCGCGCGCGGCGAGGGAGCCGCGCAAGGCCGCTACGACTAAGATGTAATCATTCCTTTTTGTCAAGGATAAATAACAGTTCAAGTTTGAGCAAAGGCTCTTCTAATTCTGCATAAGTAGACACTTTTCAGTCAGAATTAACAAAAACCAAGAAGGTAGGAAACTCAGTTTCATACCTCAGCAACAAGCACGTCTGATCATGGAAGGTGCTATTAAGGGCCTGTACTGTGGGATTGAAATTGGAAAAATGATCATTTTTTCTGCCTTCTACCCAACGGCCAATGTGGCTCGGTGAGATTGATGACGAGCCGGTAATCCGTGAGACCCTCGCAGAAAGCCGATGCCGCCTGCAGCCGGGAATGGGCGTTGAACTTCATTGACTGGGGCCGCGAACGCCATAACGAGCTCCACTGGTGTGATGGCCGATTGCGGCAGTTAAAAGTCATCCTTCTTTTGCAACCCTTTTCATCCAAATGATTAACCATTAGAGGCCTATCATTTATCCAATTTCTCGACATTCCTTTCACCCCGTAATCCATTGATTCCTTTTAGTGTTAGTCAACTTGATTTTTAGCAGTCCATTTGGTGGACTTGACTTCTTGTATAAATCCTTTTTTACACACCAATCCCATGTCGATCATTGGTAGAACTGATCTTAAGAGAATGTTGCCTGTGATTTTGAGTGAGAGCTTTGACTGCTGTTTCGGTCTACCGGTGTAAAAATGTTAGTTTACATTCAGATGACTTTGAGAAACTGAGATTGCACCTCAATGTCTCGAATAATTTAGTAAGTGGTTATTTTGCCGAAGTTGTTTCTTGAAGTATAGTGAGCAAGGGGTTATAGATGAAGAGGAATGCTACCTCTGCTCCAGATTTTTTTATGACTTGTAGAGAAAAGTACTGAGTGTGAGTGAGGACCGGGTTGAGTGGACCCCAATGGGGCAAGATGCAGGTGGCCCTGAGTGGGCAGTGCCGGGAAACATGAGGAAACGTGGAGAATGTCAGGCACCGGGTGGCATCAGAGGGTCTTTTATAATCACCAGCAAGCACCAAGCTCGCCGTCGTGCATCAGCGGAGCCGAAGTCACAGTAGGTGCATCTGCTCTAATCGTAGGATTGGAGTTTGCGTCCAAGCTGCTATCACAGTGCACACCGGGGTAGCTCCTCTACGGTCCAGCTCTTGGGGCTCAGCATCGCAAGCAACAACGTCGTCTGCAGACCCCACAATGCACTGTCAATCAATAGTATACGGGTTCACAGAAGACCAAAAAATTACCATCTGAGCAACCTGGAACAAAAGAGAACAATCCTACCGACTGGACCCACGTGGGTTGGTAGTACTTCAAGTGAGCTGAAACTGAAAGGGTGGAAAAAAGAACTAAGAGTAATTGAACAAGACAATACTGCCTGCAGCAGGAAGTGGCGACTCCATTTCATCGAGCAAGTAAGGCATAGGAGACAAGAGCATACCGGCCGTCAGGATGTAAGCACATGTATCAAGTGGACTGCTAAAAAATTAAGTTGGGTAACAACAAAACGCATTGATGGATTGCGAGGTGAAAGAAATAAAAGGTGGGTCTCTAATAATTAATCATTCGGCTGAAAAGTTTTGCGAAAGAAGGGCGTGTTTCAACTCCCGCAATCGACCCTCACACCAGCGGAACTCATTATGGCGGACCTTGTCGATGAATTTCAACGCCCATTCCCGGCTGCAGGCGGCGTCGGCTTTCTCGATCTCTCGTAAAGCTGCTTCTAACTTTTCTACTAGGGTCTCATGGATTACCGGGTTGTCCTCAACCTCACCGCACCACATTGGCCGTCTGCTCCCGTCGGTCGGACTGGGTCAGTTGGGTAAGATTTGCGTTGGTAGGTCTAGTAGCTTCCTGCTCAAATAGCACTTTTTCCTGTTCTGCGCGATCCCGTAAACTACATCACAAGATACCAATCGTCACACATTTCTAGAGGCAACAGCCATTCGATGACAATTGGCATCTCGTGATGTAGCTCACCGGATCGCGGAGAACGGGAAGAAGTACTACTTGAGCAAGAAGCTACTAGACCTACGGACGCAAATCTTACCCAACCGACCCAGTCCTACCGACAGGAGCAGACGGCCAATGTGGATCGGTGAGATTGAGGACGACCCGGTAATCCATGAGACCCTAGCAGAAAAGTTAGAAGCAGCTTTACGAGAGATCGAGAAAGCCGACACCGCCTGCAGCCGGGAATGGGCGTTGAAATTCATCGACAAGGTCCGCCATAATGAGTTCCATTGGTGTGATGGTCGATTGCGGGAGTTAAAACACACCCTTCTTTCGCAAGCCATTTCAGCCAAATGATTAATTATTAGAGGTCGACCCACCTTTTATCCCTTTCCCCTCGCAATCCATCAATGCGCTTTAGTGTTAGCCAGCTTCAAGTCCATTTAGTGTACTTACCTTCTTGCATGCATCTACTGTGAGTTCAAGTGAGAGCTTCGAGTTTTGTTTTGGTCTACCAGTGGAAAAAGGTTAGTTTGTGGTGGTTACTTTGAGAAATAAAGATTGTACCTCATTGTCTGGAATCATTTAAGATGTTGATTTGTCAAAGTTGTTGCTTGGAGGGTGGTGAGCAGGAGGTGGTTTTTGCATCCCTATATAGATGAAGGAGAATGTTATCGCTGCTCTGAAATTGTTGTAGCTAGTAGAGAAGGTACCTGTTATCTCAATTGCCGAGGTTCTGATGGACGCCGGTAGAGGATCCAGGTGGTTGTGAGTAGGGAGTGCTGGGGAGTGAGGGAATGGGGAGAAAGATGGCGAATGACTGGGACCGGTGGGCATGAGAGGGTCTTTTATATTCACCAAGCAGCACCAGGGCTCCGCATCGTGCAGCAGCCGAGCCCACAGTAAGTGCAGCGGTGCAGCAGCTGAGCCGGTGGTAGGATTGGGCTCAGCATCCAAGCTGCCATCCCGCTCAGCATTCCACCAGGCAGCAGAATTGTCTGCAAACTCCGCCAGACCGCAAGAACACACTTAAAAACCACATCGCCTCCAAAATGATCAGCCCTAATTTTTCAACCTCTTCAGTGGCGTGCATTCTTGGAGCGCTTAGTGATCTAGAGTTATTTTCGTGGCCGTCAGTCTTCACTTGACCTCAACCAATCTGCCTCTGGCACAACTTCTGAGAGAGATTTTGCCGTAGAGAAATGACCACGTTTGTTTCTTGACTGTACTAGCAAAGTGAAAAACCAAGCCCTCTTTCAGGAGAGACGGTAGTATGATATAAGATTTTTCAAGAGTCAGATTAGCTGAACAAGTCAGCTGATAATTTTATGAACTTCGTTCGAGGTATCTGACTGGCAGTGGCAGTGTTCAGAGGACATTCAGCTGAGCTGATGCTTGGCGGGGTCTGGAGAGCACCCAGAGGACAATTAAAAACATCTATTTAATGGTCTTACGAGTCACCGACAGCACCCTTCCTCTAGATTAGTCAGTAAACAACTCGAATTTCGTGCAATCCACAGTGAAGAACCACTTACTCTTGAGCATCGCCAGCAGTTCAAGCCCTTCCCTCGTCACCCGGATCTATCGTCACTTTCAAACATACTTCAGCGGAGTCCCATCCACAATGCGTTTGGCCGAGACTTGGGTTCAAGCAACGTTTGTCATAATAGCCTTGGTTGCGACGCTGGGCTTTCAAACTTCACGAGCGTCGATGACTGCAATCGGCAAGGGGCTCCAACTGGGTTGGAAAATAGGTCTACATATTCCACCTGGGGTAGAAGTAGATACCAAGCAACTGGGCGCAATCATGAAGGATGCAGTTGTCCAGAACCCAGATCTCCTGAAAGATGATGATCAATTCTCAGCTAGAGTAAAAAAAGAGTGTTTCAAATTAGTAGTGGCCAACCACTCCGCCTATGACCATGGTCAAAGCTCCACTAGCAAAGGGAAGAAGGGTGCAAAAGTTGTTCCCGATGTGTAGCAGGTGCACTGGCTCATGTATGGCACTGGAAATTGACATGCAACCATGTATCACTGGGCAATGAACTCAAGCATGGAAATCAATCTTACACATATAAAAAAAAAAATCATGATAGCCCAAGGGGCCCTGGAAAAAACTTTTTTTGGTGTTTGTGTTTAAGACATGAGTATGTAAAATGAGTAGTGAATGCAAGAAACCTAACCTTGTGATAGAAATACCTTATTTTATGGCCGGTCTATAAATCAGCTGCTATCATCTACCTCACCTGCCTTCTTTTGTCCTATAGATTTACTGATCCTATCAAGCAGACTGGGCGGAAGGATTATGAACAATACTGGCTATACTTCATTTCTTACCAACATGGAAATTCAACAAGCCTTCATAGATCAAGCCTGATGTGTAATTGACCACATGCATGGTTATTTATTGATTTTTATGGCTTGGCTACCGTTGCTCAAGTGATGAGAAGGGGACAACCCAAGCCCTCTTGGAGGAGGTATATTTTGTGAATTTAATTTTGCAAGTTGGCTAATGATGTCAATGATCGCCCAAGGAGTTATCTGAATAATTGAACCCTCCAGAGGTAAAAACCATGTAATCCTATAGGTGATTGGGAATCTATCATTTATGTAAAGCAGCCCTGAGGGGAAGGTAGTCAGGGGGCTGACACTAGGCCCAAGAGCCCATATGTGATGCAGAATTGGTCTATCCCTGTTTTTTTTTGTTTCCATACTTGTTTGGGGTTTTAGGTTGGAACTCCCTAGGTCTTCCTGGGTAAAATCACTCAGGACTATCAGTGTATGTGTTGCAAATAATGTTATTTCTTAATCAACACAAAGGGGATATTCTTGTGTAAACTATCATTGAGAGAACAAGTAAGGTAGTTGAGTCTTCTCTTGAGAGTTTTTTTCAGAGCACATCATGAGTCAGAGGTAGCTTGAAGTGTATGATGATAAATCAATCTTTTTGATGAATGAGGAGATTTCTTAGTGCAAATGAGGGGAGACAGGGACAGGGATTCTTGAGAGTCTCTTAAATTGGTAGAACCACTTGCTTTGCCCTTATAGGTCT